CGGGGAATCAAACTTCCATACCTAAATCACTGAGCTATCCAGTAGTTCTAGACAGGGATATGATTATTAACACACATTTTATGCCTTGGGCCCTAGAAAAGGGAGGAAGGAAGATGTGATTCCATCAACCTTGCAGGCCCTGAAATGTTCTGAGTAGAATTTATCTCCAGACAGTTGCCATAACAAGGCGCATAAGGCCTGTGGAGAAATGTCTGCCAGCCACAGATTCAGAGGAGAGGTTCTATTTCAAAAAGCCTTTTGAGTAATTCCTCCGCTAGGCCCATGTCATGCTCTGGAAACCGTTTTCGTGCTGTTCCTCTTTGCTGCTCCCCTCTAATGCAAGCATGATTGTCATGACTACAAATCACTCCCGTAAACAATTTCCTGGCATGGTCCATAAAGAATTGTCTTCAGTTGGATGAGGCGGTGAGGGAGGCAGTCGCCAAGGTAACCTAGGGACTAGGAGAAAGGGAGTGACCTCTTGGCCCTGTCATATGGGAAACAGTGGATTCCAAGTGAACCAGAGAAATCCATCGCTCCTCATCATCTGCAGCCAAATTCTGATCTCCCAAAAAACTCCTCTGCCAGCACAGTTTCTGCTCAAACTGCCATCATGGAGGGTGAAAAACAACAACTAAATGTCAAAGCAAAGAAAGCAGTGAGGCACTGAGATTGGGTAAATTGCTGGAATTTATCTGAAGACCTTTGCTTCTTGGTGGAGTCAGTTGATCATGACCATCACCCTCCTCCTCCTCCTCAGCTCTGGGGCTCCTCAAAAACATTTTTGTTCTTTGTACACAGTGATTTCCTACAAGTCAATTTCTACAAAGGAAATTGACATATACACTGTTATATATGAAGAATCAAGATATACCTGTTTTGATAGAAGAAAAAAATATGAATATGCCGTGGAAATTTAGAGCCACTTTGGATTTTCTGCCATGTGCACATGCAGTGGAACAGATAAATAGTGGTGTAGTTTCTTATGAGCAGATAAAAAGAAGACTGTGGGAGCACAGACCTCCACTAGCCTTGAAATTGATATTTCATGCCATATCCCAGAAGAGTTATGTGCATCGCCTTTCCTCAAAACTTTTTCTGCCCATATTTGAGCTTTACATTTCACCTCTTCCCAGAGCCCATCTGCCATTTTCAGGGTCCTTATACAAACGTCTAATACAGGACCCCTCATGTACACATATTACACATTGATCTTATATATACAACTGCATGGGTAATGAAAAAAAGCTTATATTTTATTTCTGAAGTTACAGTTTTTACAATTCTGAAGTTATACTCACACTTACTATGAGATTTTCTACTATGTCTCCAAATTTCTCACCTCACCTTTTGTTATTTTTGTTTAAGTTAACATTCAGAGAATAACAGCTGACTATTTTGTAATGTTATGGTTAGACCATTAATGGTATAATCCTGCAAAGGATTTTGGCCAAACTCAGTTTCTATGGCAAGCAGTAGACAAAATAACTAACTTGGATTCCTACATTGATCATGGTGTTAGAACTCAATGGACTTACAGTCCCTTTCCATCTCTATTATTCTATAATTCTAGGTGGCATATGTGCAGCCCAAGTTCAAAGATGTACTGGCTGTGGTGGGTTTGGAGTGGGCAGAAACTGCTTGCACTGGCACAACTAATTTTGGGGATGATCGCAAGAGTGGAACAAAGAGCCCGGAGACATAGTACAGAGCAGCATCCCCCACAGATCTCTCATGTTAAATCCAAAGACAAGAGTGATACCTTTAACAGATCAAAGTAGATTTTCAACCTATGAATCTTGGCTTTCTGCTTTTCAGTTGTCCCAGCAGCACTTTGACTGATGTATAGCCTTTTCCTTCAGGTGTCATGCTGATGATATTGTACCCATATACTGTATGAGTACACAGAGAAGACAAGCAGAAATATACAACTGCACTGTTTGATGTTGGTTAGAGGGAAAGATATAGTTGTCTCCTGCATCAGTGAGGAGCAACAGTATTACACTGAAAGCTTGCCATGAAATACACATATTATTTTTCTCTCCATCAGTTTGCTATAGTACACTGAAAGCTTGCCATGAAATACACATACAGTATTATTTTTCTCACCATCAGTTTGCTATAGGAAAAACCAATACAAAACCTGTTTATCCAAAACCACAAGACTTGTCTAACAAAGTGAAAGGATGCATCTCATGAGCATTAATCCTTCTTTCAACCTGTCTTCAGTCCTCTGAAAACAACAACACTATCATCTGTCTCCTTCCTTGGGGCAGGGAAAAAACCCACACTGACTACATATGATGCAATATCTCAGGTCTAACAAATGTAGCCTGCAGACACAAGAGCTTGCCTCCTGCTGGAGTTCATCTGGGCCGCAGGAGTCAAGCCTGCTGGGTCAATCACAGACACAACTTCCCAACAACTCTCAAGGGGAGTGAAAAAATATCCTTCTAATCAAGGCACCTAATTTCCCTCCTGACTCCAGCGAACAGGAATCACACATGTCCGCTCAGCAGTTGCTAATGAGGCAGATTTCTGAGAGTGTTCAGTGCTGAGAGGAACCTTGAACAGATGAGATTGAAAACATTGCTGTACAGAACCGGGGGTCTTAGTTTTGACCCACTTTATGTTTGGAAAAATTGCCTTTGAGAAACTCTACAGAACACTTACAACTCGGGATGAATTAAAAAATATTCATGTTCGCTAATGGCAAGATACAAGACTGACCTAAGCCATTTTTCTGACCAAAGAGGAATAGGAAATGGCACCTTTGCCAGACACACATCAAGGGGCATAATTTCCCAAAGCAGCCAAGTTATTTTGGCACATGAAGCAAAAAAATTCCACACCCACTTTTCCCTATGACCATCACTAAAAATAAAATACAAGCACACTAATTATCTTAAAAATTGCTATCTTTCCATGACACCTAAAACCTGCTGCCTGAGGAAACCACTTTACTTTGCTTAATGGTGCTTAAGGGGCTACCCTGGTAAGAAAGAAATGACGCTTCCCCATGGTTGGCTCTCTATTGCAGAAGAATGGATTTTGGAAGAGAACCAACTGTGGTAGCACTGAATAATGAGAATAGATTGGGGGTGGAGGCTCACGGAGAATCTAATGAGGACAAGCCATACGGACCAATCTGAGGATAGAAACTAGGACAATCTGAACACTGAACAGAGTAGCACTGAGTAGCTGAGGTATTTGATGTACTGAGAATTTGTGGACAAGGTACTGATTATCTGCTGGAACTTTCTGTTGCCAGACTCCTACAGGACTTCTGAAAGAAGACGCCCATGTTTGTGAATGGAGAAGCCTTATTATTGAAGATAATTTTTCAAAGATGACCAGAGTATGACAATGCCTATTAGTGAGGAGGAAAGGAAAAACAAAATGGCACAGTGCTTCCTGGGATAACTAAGTCTATGTGGGAGTGTGGTCTTACTCCCCATTAGGCACCTATAGAGGGCACTCCCAAAGAACTGCAGCTCACACAAAGACCTGGGCTTCCCAAGAATCACTGGGGCATTTTCCTTTTTCTACAGTAAATAGGCCCAAGATAGCCAAAAAGATAAGCCCCATTCCAGGTGAGTGAAATGGAAGTGTGCACAGGTGTCTACAGATGTATGTCAATGGGCAAGAACTCCCAGAATTCTGCCTGGGGAATTTTGGAGAATCTTGGAAGCTGAAATCCAAAAATACTAAATGGTACATCCTTAGCACAGAAGGCCAACGGGATAGAGGAGATCCTATCATAAAAGAACAGCTGGCCAAGGAGGGCCATGATAAGATTTGTCCAAGGCTTTAAAACGAGAGGAACCACGTGATCTTAGCAGACAGATAGCAGAAGAAAGAAGAACAAATCAATTTTTCTTATAAGCATATTACATCCAATTGTTATGTGCAGAGATCCTTGAAGTCATTAATGGCCGCTATAGTTTGCATTGCCATAATTATTTCTATTATGAGAATTGCTTTTGTTTTCTCCACACTTTTAATGAAATGGTCCTGTTTCAACACCCCTTTCCCTTCTTAAATGCTACGCTGTAAAATATGCTCCCATATTGCAGAGCAAGAAAGGGAAGTGGAGCCTACTCAGTCACTGCTCAGTACACTCTGGGCAGGCATCCCTTTAGAAAGAACTGAAGTAGTTATTACGGACTCTTGTTGCATCCTAGAGTATTCAGTAACATGATGGGTCTCATTCTATTTGCCCCCCACACCTCTCCTTCTGAGGCTGAAATCCTGTTGCTTTGTTACACAGGTGAAAGGCTAATGATATAATGTTCATTTCTCAATGCCAATCAATTATTCTCTGCTGGGATTCTCGAGTGCATGTGTGCCCCCAATCAGACTTTCATATGAAGTCCCTGTTTATTTTCTGATAACCAGCCATAAACTGGAGCAAGCTTATTTGCAAAATGCAGAAATGAGAACAGCTTGTGCTAAGAAAAATGGGCATTGTTTGTCACTCTTAGAGGAACTACATTTTCAGTGCAGAACCGAGCATCTCATGAAGGCTGACCCTTGATCTCTCAGCAACTTCCCTCCCCTGCAGTGTTAAATGTCCAGTCCTCACATTGTGCCAACTTCTTGCCCAGATAAAATTTTGCTTGCACCTCCGCTGCCAAGGCTTTCCAAGGCTCAGTGTATTTTCAATACCAGAACCCAACCCCAGAGCACATGCGATCAGAATAAAGATGAAAAGAGGATTGTGTGATGCCCAAACATGTTGGATTTCCAACAACTTCCCCTTACTATTTAAATTAATACCTCCCCGCAAAACTCCTGAATTGAAACTTCACATCACACATTGGTTGCTGGTGTCCTGTCCTACATTGTGTGCGTATGTGTGTTTAAATTAATGCAACCAAAAACTCTCTCTAAAGTTTGCTTTGACCCTCATTCACAATCTCACTGACTCCTGAGCCACCAAATATAGCCCTCTGCATTGCCAGTGCTTCACCAAAAACGGGGAAGAGCTCCCTTGATACCTGATCATCCACTTTGTGGGCTATGACTGTGGCTCCTTCTTCCAGCTCTGCCATGCTGATTGGCCGTATACGAAGTGCCACCTAGAATACAAAGAGGAAAAGAATAAGCAAAGGAGGTATTTCCAGCCAGGAAAAGCAGGAAGAAGAAAGATGGGTAGAACTGCACCTGTATGGGTGCCATGGCTGTCCCTTATATGCTCATCTAAAGGAATAAAGCATGAAGAAAGTTCGTTTCACATCTAAGCTTCACCCAAGGTACTTCTGGTCAGTTTTTGTCCACCTCCTCTTCTTCTTGCCTAGCGTGCCTCACCTGAGGCACTGTCTTTCACTCTGAAACAATCATCTGCGTCTCACAGCGGCCCTGGCAGGCAGCTGCACACAAACAATTACAGTGTTTTTCCTGGAAGAAAGGAAACACCGCCTGGAGAGCCCCATCTCTGGCTTCACACACTGCCGAGCCATGGATCAAGAGAAGCTGCTCTAGCCGCGCGAGTTTACAATGTTCTTTCTCCCCCCCCAACTCGCCCTCTAAAGCCAACAGCCTCAAGCTGGAAGTGGCTCAAGAATTTCCTTATAAGAGCCCCGTAGTACCTTCATGGCTAACATGTTTCATATGGCATATGCTTTTGTGGAGTGTAGCCCACTTCTTCAGATGAATCAGATGCGGAGGCTGTCGTCCGCAAATTCTTACACCAAATCAAACTTGTTAACTTTTTAGGTGCTACACCTCTATTCGTTGTCTTTGCTACAACGGCCAGCACAGCTACGTGCCCCTACCTTTACCGTAAATGAGCTAACAAAGCCAGATCTATCATACATTTAGGCACACATTCCCTTGTCTTAAATCTATTCCTGGAGTTTCCTTCTGCATCAGTGCAACACTTCAACCTCCACTTCAAAGAAGATGAACCACTGAAAAGAGTGCCCCGGAAGAAAAGAGGCAGAATACATTTCTCCAGAACTGGAACTAGAAATGTTGGCATGGGGGCAAACAATGACATCTCTTGCTCTGTCTCTACCCAGAGACAAAGGTGTGAGCTTCCGCTGGGAAGAAGGAGAAGCCGGGTATGGTGCCCCACAAGAGAGAGCTGCATCAAATTTCAGATGGAGGGCATCTAGGTAAAGAACACTGTTTTGCACACTATCTGTGATGACACATTTACTTATTTAAAATATTTATAATCTGAGTCTTAATAAAACTTCCTTAAGAGTAGGTTATGTCATATAATCTGCTTTACAAACATGTTTGAAAAAGAAACACTACATTATTATTGGAATGATGTGGTGAGAGTGGTAACTGTTTTTTATTAAAAAGTAACTATCTTTCCCCTTCCTCAAGCACTTATTTCCAGTAAATGCAGTACCAGAGATATGCAGTCACTGCTTAAAAACTGTATTTTTGCATGAAGGAAGAGAAACAAAATGGCTTTCTCAAGGTTATTACTATTGACACGTCATCCCTTGCTTCTCCTCCAGTGAACTCAAGGTAGTGCACAAGACCCTCCTCTTCCCCCCCATAATCCTCACATCAACCTTGTGAAGTAGGTCCACCTGAGAAAGAAGAAGTCACTCACTAAGTTTCACGGCTCAGTATAGACCAGAATATGCATCTCTCTCAAGTCCCAGCCCAATACTCCACGTGTTATGCCAGAAGATTTTATCCTATGTATTATTCTACATTTTACTTTTGTGTTTAATATTGTTCTTATCATGAGTTTTAATATACGTATTTATTTAATGCTTTTTAAATATTGTAATAATTTATTATTTGGCTGTTAACTTTGCTCTTTTAATAGTGCAAGCTGCCTTGGATCCTTCAGAAGAAAGACAGCACATAAATATTATAAATAAATAAGTTAATTAAATATGTCCGCAGTAATCCCTTGCATTCTTTGCCCACATCCCTTCTGCTTCATTCTATTTCTCCCCATTGTTTAATTTGATAATGAAGTCCATGGAGTGGGAACCTGTTTTTGAATTATGACTGTCTATGTTGCCCACCCAAGTCAGTTGACGATGGTCTACAAAACCATATTGGGAAGACCCAGCAGACTGTGTGTGGCCAGTAAAACAGAACTTTAAGAAACTGTATGTAATAATAATAATCTTAGAACTGCAGAGCTGGAAGGGACCCTATGGGTCAAGGAGGCACAGTGGGGAATTGGACTCCCAGCCTCTGTTCTGCAGCCAGAGACCTACACCACTGAGCTATTACCAGAATGATCTTGGGAGGAAATTCTACTATGGTCTTGTCACTGTCTTCACATCATCTTAGCTGCTCTCTAGATACTATCTCCATATCCTTTCATACAGATGAGATGTACAGTGTTTTACAATAGTGCACACATCCGGCACACACAGCTAAGGGCACCAACAGGCTGTTAGGGTGAAACTGAAAAAGAGTTCTGTTGTATCAAGATGCGTACAACCCAGATCTAAACGGCTAACATTTTCTTTTGCAACGTTACACATAGAGGCAGTGGTTAGCCTCAGCAGCCCAGGGAAGTCCTTCTCTGCACCTAAGTAATAAAAAGAGCAGGAAGGAGAATCGACTCAAACTTCATCCCCAGGTCATTATGCTCAGTTATGGACGTTTACACCAGCTTGACTTCCTCGGTCTGGGTCATCAGAGGATTTGGAGGAGTTCACTAGTTAACTGCCGCTCTTCTAACCCGTGCCGTCAGCTAAAAATCCGGATCCCATATTGATACAGGAGGAAACAGACCCTTTAACGACCAGAGGGCACCTTTCGCACGATCAACGCTGACCCTTTATAGGAGTACCTCTAAACACAACTACTGTACATCCATCTCTTTCCGTTCTACTTGGAAAGCTGTTATCGAATTTTAAAAGCTTAATTAAAACAAAACTAGAATGTAAAAAAAAAAGGAAAGGAAAGCGCACCCAAACCCTTTGCAAAGAATAAAAGGGGGCCGTCCTGACTGTTCAGTACCCCCCCCAGGCCCTTGACCTCTGCAACACTGAGCCGCTGAGCAGTCCGGCTGGCTTCCTCATCATCATCATCATCCCGCATCCCGCCGCCACCTTCGCTCCTTTTAAAAGCTTCCCCAAACTGCGCGGGAGCGGCGGCGGCGGCGGGAGTGAGAAGGGGGGGGGGATCCGCGATGAATGGCGGGCCGGTTTGCTCTTACCGTGAGCTGCTGGTCCTTGGAGTCGCTGGTCTCCTTCATGATCATGGCAGGTGAGGGGCGCCCCGGGCAAAGGCGAGCGGTCCAGGGCAGCCGGGAAGGGATGCCCTGCCTGCGTGTGGGAGCGGGGAAGCAACCGTAGCTGATGCCACGTGCGGCGGCGGCGGCGCCTCGTCCTCGTCCTCCCCACCTGGCCCCCCTCCTCCTCCTCCACCACCTGTCACTTCGTCTCCCTCCTGCTTCCCCCGCAGGGGCTGCCTTGCAAGGCTCCGTTCATCCTGCCCGGGAAAACCAAGGAAGGCGCGCCTCTCGTGGAGGGACAGAGGAGCGCCCTTCACCCGCCCGCACCGGACACCGTCCTTCTGCGCCCCGATTCGCCCGACACAACTATGTCGCCCGTCTCCTTTTTCCCGGAGACCGGCAGTCTCCCGGACTGCTGCCTCGCCGCGTCGGCCCTTCGGTGGCGGCGCCCGGGCCGCCGGTTCCCATTGGGGACCCACAGGCTGGGCTCAGCCTTTTCCCTGCCCTCGCCGTTCCGTCGCTGCCTGCGGGCGTCCCGAGTCCCCTGGAGATCTTTCCAAAGTGTACACAAACAGGCCGGGGGTGGGCCTGGAGGCGGCTCTTTCGCCGTCGCCCTCTGCCGGTCAGGGCCCAGGAAGCCGGCGGCAAAAGTTGGAGAGGTGCGGCGGCCGGGGGGCAGAGCAATCGGAACCAGATTTCTCGGCCCCTCTGGGGGGGCTCAGTCCTCCTAGAATTCAAAAGACTGTGCTCCTGATCATATGCAGAGTGCCCTTGCTCTGCGACGGAGTAAACCGTCCACAGCCGGTGTCACCCTCGAATCAACCAGCTTTCCTCAGAAACAGCAGGAAGAGCTTCCAGGGAGGGTGATATGGTGGCCCTGAATGGGCAACCTTTTGTTAAAACATATGTTTTTATAATCGATGCCGAAGATCCTGAACGTGGGGTAGAGGTGCCTTTAGTCTGTGCAGTTGTTAGTCAGAAAAATGTCTTGGACTTTTTGCTGACTGGCATCAGGAAAATGATGCCACCTCCTATTCCAACATCATGCCAGAGGAGGAGATGGCATCCTTCCACTCAACCAAGTTCAAGGTGCATAATGCCCCAAGCCATGATGAGTTAATCCAAGAAACGAACAGCTCCGGCCGCAAAATTTTGAATCTACTTGCCAACGGAGCTCCTGGTAGGCCCTGTCTAACCCTCCGGGAAAGCCGCCTCCAGAGGGCTCCCTGGCCTTCCCTGCCACCTGTTTCAGTCCCCAAACTGTTAGAATACTTTACCTGGTAATGGTGTTATGCCTCTGACTCTTTTCCCTCTTTGGAGTTGTCATCAGTTATTAAAGAAATACAAAAATGAAAAAAATTGCTGTGTCAACAAATTAAATGATTAGTAACTGGTTGATCCAGACAACCAAACTGTGCTGCCTCACTCTGACTAATAGCAAAACTGATCTTTGCAGGAGCAGAAACTTCAGACCAGGGAATGGGTAGTTAAGGAAGGAAAGCTGATGGAAAAAATAAGGAAAATTTATTTCAAAATATGGTGTTGGAGGAGAACTTTAGGTTTACCATGGACAGCCAGAAAGACAAGTAAGTTCTGGATCAAACCAAAGCCTGATCTCTCACTAGAAGCTAAACGGACTAAACTGATGCCATTGTACTGTGGATACATGAGAAGAGAGGGTGCAACTGTACTGACAAGCTAATCGGAGCAATTTGGCTTGCTGTGGCTTGATTTGCAGTCTCTTTTACAGCTGTATTCAATTTAGGTGGTCACACAAAGGCTACGGATTGTTTCATGCCAGTGTCTACACTGGCCCTTAATCTGATGTGGTTTTATATGTTACCCTATGACACCACCCACCTACCTGGTGACTCCTACCTCTCCTCTCTCCCCCCCCCTCTCTGTGTGTGTAGAGGTGATCTAATGCTAAACTCAATATCTCATTTAAAAAATACTTTGGGATGATGAGGGAGAAAGATTGCAGGGGTTATTGGTCCTGCTGTCTCAAAACAGCATATCGCACCAGAAGACATCACCATACAGTAATACCAGCCAGAGTCATGCCTCCATTGTTTTGTAGAATGAAACAAATGATGACACACGGAAAACTTTCAAAAAGTAAAAGCTCCAAGAAGCAGAGGGGAAAACTGAACACAAAGCAAAAAAAAAAAGCCCAGGTTGATTCACATTGGTGTGGTCACTGCAAAAATAAAAATAGAATTCACCTGTGTTAACTGCAAAGCAAATTTCAAAGCATTTATCAATGTAGTTGCAGCTTCACTGGGAAAAATGGAAAGCAGTATGATATTTAAAAGGCTTAACATGAGTTGGATTAACACATAATGGATGTCACACTCTGAGCCAGGCTGCTGCTTGTGAGAGCTTTTTGAGGTCATTAATTCATAAAGTTGCCATAAGTCAGAAGCAAGTTGACATCACATAACAACAATTAAAAAGGTGCTACAGTTGGCTGCAGTCACATTTCTGCTGTGTGTTGTGCAGCATTGTATAGATCAGCAACACTTGTGCTGATTTTGAACAACCACTTTTGCTTCACTTTGGTGAGTCCTCCCTACCTTCTGCATTCTACATTCTGTATAAAAAGCACAAGGCAGATGTTAAGAGGATTTATTAGAAAGTGGGACAGCTTACATGGAGGAAGAAGCACATGAAAGAAGAGCACATTGCTGTTTCATCTTCACAGCAGTCCCCAGAGTTCTCATTTAGGGTTTTCCCAGAGGGTTGATGGATGCTGGGGCAAGCATGATGTTAGGTACGTTACTATTATACCCTACCTGGGCCCATGTGTACCTGGGGGTCCGGTGAGCAATTTGACATACCAGGGGGCCAACTGTATGCACAGAAGGAGAGGTGGAGGGACTGACTTTGTGAAGAACCAGAACAAAATTGGTCCTGTTTTTGTTACTCTGCTTGTAACGATCTGGATTCTCCTGCTTTGGCATCCATCTGCTAGGATTTCATCGCAGATTTAGAACTGGCCATTAAGCTGACTAGGTAACCTTGGAACAACAACTCAACTCTCCCCTTCACTTATTCTACAGACCTGTTTTGAGTAGAGGAACAGGGAGGAATGCTGTGCTTCACAAAGCACAGCAAAGCTAGGGAGAAGAAAGGTGGGGCTGAAATGCAAGGCATTTCACAGTGGAGAAACATGCCCCTATTTTAAGGAACAGCTATTCCACCTATGCTATCCTCTACTGAAGTTTCTCCAGAAGATCTTTTTCTTCCAGCGGCAAAAGTTTAATCACATAAATGAGGCTGAGCACCGGCCATTCCAGACGTTGCCTTATTAGTAGTTCCTATGGCATTCTGCCTTCTTGTGTCTGCAAATCTCTGGCATGGATAACTGATCGAGACTCCATCTTCATTTCCTCTTGGTTCATCTCAACACCCATGAATACTCTGCTGCTGGAGGGAGCAAATGATCTCCTGAGTGAAATATATGCATATGGCCAACTTGAATGGTACTGTGGGATACATTGGTCAGGTATACGATCTCTTGCATCATTATTGTCTTATTGCATGCTGTGGCAATTGCTGTCCACCATTGTTTAGAACAGTTGAAGTTTGTTGCTTGCTTAAAGCAACCTAAACACACTTTATCTTTTACACCACACACATTCATTGCAAATGTTCATTCATTTATCCACCTCAATTTTGAAACTAGTAGGCTTTGTTTTGTATACTGATAGGCTGATATGAGCTCTGTAGCAATTTTTGATGATCCACAAAATACCAAATGTTTACCAAGATGCAGCAAAGTGTTTTGCCGACAATGCTGCTGTCATTCATAAGGATGCAACTTGCTGTAAAAATGAGACATTTGCTAATGCATAAACTTCCCCCCCCCCAAAAAAATGCGGGAAACTTCTGCTTAAAGGCTGTAGCTGCATTCTGCTTTAGTGACGTGCATACACTCCTGGCAGAATGCGGCAGATGCCAGCAGGCGGGGTAGCTCCCTCTTCTGCCCTTTTACTTAGAGGTAGAGCATAAGATCAAAGGGTTATTTTAGTCAATGCTAGTTACGATTAGGTAACTAGTATCCTATCTGTTTCTCTCATAACATACTATGTAATCATGCTAAGTTAATAAAAGAGCCCTCAGGCTGTTGCCAGTGGATTCCACTGGCTTGGACTTTCGCTGTCGACTCCTTTGTTCTCTTTAAGGCAATTAGCCTTCCTTTGTTCCATGATCACCCACACGCCAAACTGGGCATTTGAGGCTTTTTAAAAAAATTGATAACTTGGGTTAGGGTATGGGATACAGAAGGTAAGAGGGAAAAAACGGGTTGGGGTTAGGGAGGGAGGAAAAACAAAAATATACTAACATCCATTCTATTCATATTGCAATATCACGATTAAAACTCTGCTTTTCTACTATTTTCTGCCTTCCAGATTTTAGTTCACAATTTGATCTATGCTATTCAAGCACTGTCTGGTGACTCTAACCATTTGTAGAATAAGTCCCATCTTTCAGTTGCCTTTTGTAAAGGACATTTATCACTTCTGATAGAATGTCCATTTCTCCCGTTCCCCTTATCTTCTCCATAAGATCTTCTTGTTTTGGTACCACTGGATTTTTCCAATTTTTGGCATACAGAATTCTGGCTGCAGTGACTATATGTATAACTATACACTTCTTTGCTTTATCTATATTATCTGGTATCATACTCAATAAAAACAGTTCTGGGGTTAATGAAATCTTACAAAACAATATTTGTTGTAACAGAGTATGCACTCCTATCCAATATTGTTTCGCTACTCTACAAGTCCACCACATATAATAGCTTCCCACCTGTGCTTCACATTTCCAACAGACATTTGATACATCTGTACACATCTTCGACAATTTTTCTGGAGTCATATGCCACCTATAAAACATCTTATATATGTTCTCCTTAAAATTAACCAATTTTGTAAGCTTTATATTATTTTGCCATATTTGCAACCATTGATCAATATCAATATTATGTCCTATATTTTGTGCTGACTTAATCATACATTCTTTGCCCATCTCATCTTGCATTTTAATTTCTAGCAAATAATTATACATTTTCTTAATTATTTTATCTTTTGAGCCTAATAAAATTTATCAAATGTCATTTGTTCTGCGTAGAAAGCCTCTATTTTGTCTTTTCTGTATTTAAATTCTAGCTGTGCTCTGGACCACCAGTCTATGTATATATTCTGTGTCTCTAACTCTTCTTTAGACCTTAGCTCACAATCCTTTTTCAATAAATCTTGATATCTTAGGTGCTTTGCTTCCGTCATAAGATTAGGTTGTGTAAAGGGCTCTATAGGTGATACCCATACTGGTGTTTTTTGGTAGATTTGTTGAACAATCTTTTTCCAGGTTTTATCATATGTGAATTAAAATGTTTTTGCTCTTTATCTGTTTTATACCATAAAAAAGCATGCCAGCCAAACTGCAAATCATGTCCTTCCAAATTCAGTAATCTATCATTTCCCAAAGTTAGGCTGCACAGTCCCTGGATGTCCCCAGAAGAAGGGAATGGTCAGCCACTTCTAAGTACTCTCCACCTAGAAAACCCTGAAATGGATTGCTACAAGTCACCATTCACTTGATGGCACACTGTCATCATCATCATCATCATCAATGGTTATTTTTTGAGAACATTTTGCAGATGTGTCAGATGTTGTTCATGCCTGGTTTCAGCAAGAGAGAGAAAAGCCAACTGTAACAAGACTCTATTTCAGGCAGCTGCTCTCTGTTGCCATCACCCTCTGTTTCTATCTTGAGAAGAAATTGTTTTCATGAGCCGCAAGATGATCACTGTATCAATAATTTAACTAACAGTGACTGGCAGGGCTGCCACCCTGCAGTAATAAGCAGTGGTTTTCTTGACAGGGCTGTGGTCCCAACAGGCATTCTCTCCTGCTTGGATGGGTTAGGGTTGTTGTTGCTTCTGAAGACTGGTTCAGCCATCTGTGTCTTTTGATGGGAAGGCATGGCGGGTGCTTTCTCCAGTCACTTTGAAGCAGTCCCAGTCACACTCCACTCATATGTTAGGAAGGTCAAGGGTTCCGTTTTAAAAGGCAGCAATTTAAATATACACAGAGAACAGATTGCAGGGAAAGGACCTCCTTCCTACCTCACACGACAATAGTTTGTGGGTCACCTTAAGTTAAACACATAGAGTTGGACCGCGGTATCCATGGGGATCAGTTCCAAGGCCCCCTGCAGAAAATGGAAATAGTGGATAAGCAGTTTCTTTGGCGTCCATGCATGGTGGACAGAAGGGGCCCTGGCCCAGTCTTGCCAAAAGACTTGATTTCCTGCTCTCCTGTTTGCAAGGGAGGCTTCACTTCAACCAGCAGCTAACGCCTCTCCCCAAATGCAGCTTCTCAATTCCTCCAGAAGCTGCTTCCCTTGGAGATGTCAGACCAAGAGTGCATTATATAGGATAGTCTCTGTTTCCATTTAGTGGTCAGTCAGTGGCAATACCCATTGGGAATGTGTATTTCTGGGATTTATTTACTGGAGAAGTGAAGTCACGGGTCCTGATCCTGCAGATACGGCGGTCCTAATGTACATGGAAAGAAAAGGTGTTTAACAGTGTAACCTATTCTGAGGGAAAATGAGCCTTTTGAGAGAGAAGTGGTGATAGAGTAAGGGGTATATAGCAGTTTATTCTTTTCTCTGCTGTACCAAAAGAAGCTTGAAAAGACCTAGGTGCAGTCAACCGGGGGTGGGGAAGAGAAAATTCAACACCTACTTATTGGGAATGTGAGTGTCTGACAGAATGATGGTGGGAATTTAATCCACTGGGAAATATATTCAGACAATGGGTCCAGGTTTTGCAAACTTTTCTAAAGCTTAGAAGGCAACGACACCTAGTCGCAATGTGGAGTGCCAACTTTTTAACTGAAGACAGAATACAGTGTGGCCGAATTCTCTTATTCTCATCCTGTCCCCCTCTCTGCCTCCTTTCGCCCCCCCCCAGCTTCAATTTCCCTTTAAAACAGCCACATGGGACTCAGAAGTCTCCAGATATTTTTTGCAAACACCCCATCCCAAGCCTGTTTTAGTTCCAAAGACTTTTTAAAAATATACTTTTAAAAGTGCCTCCCATGAACTAAAACAGAAGGCTTCCAACTGGGGGGTGGGGAGAGGGTGCAGGGGTCCCAAAGTCTGGGGAAACAGCCTGAGTGAGTGTCACTTTGCCCATTTGGATGTGGATGTTACTCTCTTGCCAGTTCTTACCTTCTGCAGTTATATGCTTTGAACAGCACTCTCTGGTCAAAGGAGTTTTGAGTAACCAGATATACAAGGCAGCACACGACTAAAGCGATTCTGAACTGGCTCTGCTAAGTAGGCAACATATGGTTGGATCCATATTTACACACTTTTGGCATAGCCACTGGCCATAAAATAAGTCTTACTGCAACCACACTACATTCTAATTGTCATTTTGCAAATTTTCCACATTACTGTTTTGTGTGAAGATTAAATGGATTTAAATACTGTACTCTTCTTTGTCACTTCCCCCAGTACTCCACCTCCTATGAAGCATGCCAAAAAATACTTAATGTCTCCTACTTCATATTTATGGATTTGCTCTTGTATGTAATATTTAACAGTGCAGTATGCTGAAGTTCCTTTGTTTGTGTTCTGTCTAATACTGTGATCTATCATAATGACTATTTTTATTTTTATTTTTATCCCTTTATCACTGTGAGTTTCCATGGCAAAGATGCTCAGCTTGGCATCAGTTCTGATGAAGACAGAATGGGGAAGAAAGGAGTACAAATATTACATTTATTAATGCTGTCTGTTGTGTAGAAAAATACTAAAAAGAGAACGAAGTCAAAAAGGGAAGCAAATAAATTCTATGCAGGAACTTAAGTGTTCATTCCTCTTCTTCCTCTTCTTCCTCTTTTTCCTCCTGCAGAAAAACAAACAAACCCAGGATTATTTATTTTCCAAATTTTAATTTACCCAAGGGCTTCCATAAATACTTTCTAAAATAGGATGCTATGGCTACTCATAAGAGCAAAAGCTTCATGAGCTATGTATATCAAAGAATATTTTGGAGCGGGAGAGGAAGACTGACCTTTTGGAGGACAATTTCATCATCTTCTTCTTCTGCATCTTCACCCTGAAATTTAAAGATGTTACAATATATATGGAATGAAACAGCTTCCTGAAATATTTATAATATGAATTGCTGGCTGGATAGCTCAGTGGTTTAAGTATCTGGCTCATGAGCCAGAAGTTGGGAGTTTGATGCCCCACGGTGCCTTCTGCAAAGTAGAGCCAGCCTGTGTGGCCTTGGGCAAGCTGCTCAGTCCCAGGGTGTCCCCAGAAGAAGGGAACAGCAAACCACTTCTGAATATTCTCTGTCTCGAAAACCCTGGGAAGGGTCACCATAAATCAGAATTGAATTAATGCCACATGATTATTATTATCACTGTTGACCTTTGTCAATAGTGACAATACATTTGTTCCTTTGCATGTATTTGGTTACTATTTAATCCACATTTGGTCAATACTGACCAAACATACAAATTATTCTGATTTACTGCTAAAAGTCCACAGCACTTTAGGTGTTGCATTTTGTTGCTGGTTTTGACTTTAATAACTCCCTAAATGGTCTTCTAGGCCCAGAGAGCCTTAAGGATTACCCTCTCTCACCTGAACTATGCTCCAAACTTAAGATCATGATCCAAGGCCCTTCTCCAGGCATCTTTATCTTTAGAGATTAGTCAGGTGGCTGTTACCTATCCTTTTATGTAGTTGCCCTCTAATAGTGGAATTTGTTCCCAAAAGAAGTATGCTTCATGTCATCATTGCTACATTCTGTTGCAGGGTATCAGCAGAGATGTTCCATTTGGATTTTTTGGACTCCAACTCACAGAATTTTCCAAGAATTCCCAAGGCAGAATATGAGGAGTTGCAGCCCACAGACCCAGATCTACATTTTGCTTATCTGGAGAGGGGCCTAAGTGAACGGCTCATAATGAAGTTGTGACCTAACTTTCAGTGCTACCTGGGATGCCTAGAGCTCCATGGGTGGTATAGTTCTTTGGGAGGTGCCCTCTGTACAGTCTAAGAGACAGAGAGAACACACCTAGGGAGCCCTAGGATTTACAGGTAGCAGCTGAGAAGCATGTTTTTTTAACAGGAAGTTAAGCCAGACTTAGGCCATAGAACCTTCTAGCTAGCCTCTTCTTCAAGTGAGTGAATTGTAGATGTGTCTTGTCAGTATGAGTCTGTGAGGAATACCACTTTTAACAACAGGCTTAGTTCTGCTGCTCCTAGACTGGGCACTTAATTCTATATTGCCACTGTAATCTTGTGCTCTTATGTCGCAATGTTGGCCCCACTGCACTGGAAGAACACCCCTCTCAATTAACTGGATTAACCACTTGCTGGTAACAATAGATCCCTACAACTAGACAAAATACAGAAAAGTCTCAATTCAAGCCGGGGGTCGGGAGTTAGGATTGGTATTGTGGCAGTCCAGAGGTGGGCAAAAGCTGGATAAAAACACAAAGAATGTGGATATGGTGTGCAATGGCCACAAGATACGAAAGTGAGACAATGAGGCATATTGAGAAGCACTGTGAGAAGAGCAAGCGTCTGGATTCTATTTTTATGGATTGCCTTGAAATCCTGCACATCTTGGGTTCTCGCTCTGGTACAGAGCCTAGTACAATGTGCTGAAAAGCACTGCATTGCCACTAGGATGCCACTAAACAGCCCTATGTCCTTAAATGTCAGTTCATTACAGGGTTGAGGGCTAGTCTTTAATGTGTTCCTTCCCGCTGTTCCTTGGGGCCCTGTATCATAATACAACATGGTCTCTCGAGATGCTGTCTTTGCCTCTTTCAGAGCTGGGACCCATTACACTGACTTAAATGACACCTGGCAGACATTTAAAGAACCCCCATGTGCTCTGCTGAGGAGCCGGCTGAGCCATTCTCCTTTCCATTCAGGAGGGTGTGACAAAATTGATCCTCTCCCTTCTCCAACCTTTCCCTCTCAGTGGCCTTCTGACCTGGTCCACAATAGATTTTAGCTTGGCCCTGGCTCGCTCCCTGCGCCGGAGCTCTCCTTCAATGATTTCAAAAAACTCCTTCTGCACACGCTCCAAGGTCTCCTCAGGCTTCTCCTCCTCGACTTCCTCTTTGGCATCCTCTTCCTTTCCCTCTGCCTTGGTCCTCTCTTTGAGCCGCATTTCACGGTGCCGTGCTTCCAGAATCTTTTCCCGTTTTGTCTCTCGCTCAAACATCTTGGGTGACAGAGAAGGATTATAATTAGAAAGAACTCAGTTTATTCCCACTGGAGGTAGGGAGTTCCAAATATTAGAGGTACCTAAATGGTCTGCCTGCTCAGGTGTTAAGATCATCGGGAGAGGCTTTTCTCTCACTCCCACCACTTTCACAGGTGCATTTGATGGAAACACAGGAGAGGTCCTCCTCTGTCACTGCTCCCAGACTCTGGGACTCCCTCCCAAAGGAGGTCAACCTGGCCCCATCTTTCCTGTCCTTCCACAAGCAGGCAAAGGCCTTTCTCTTCAGGCATGCTTTCCCTCAATAACCGGCTGCCTGAGTGGGATTTTTAAGTGGATGGTTGTACCTTGGCTTTGAATGAGCTTTTAGCACTGCTTTTTGTTTAACATTTCTCAGAGTGGTATTTGTTTATTCCTTTTAGTATTTGTACACTTATTGTTTTTAGCTTTAAATATTGTCTTTTATTGATGTAAGCCAGCGTGGGTCCTTTTTAAGGAGAAAGGAAGAGTAAAAATGTTTTAAATAAAATAAATAATGAATGCTCAAGTGCTAAGGCAACACCTTTGGGTGGTGGTGCTTTGATAATTTTCTATCTCTCTATACTAAAAGTACTTTCAAAGCAGTACGGTACACCTTCTCCTTATTGGGAGAAAGGCAGCCTATTAAACAAACAAACAAACAAACACCCTTTAAAGAGGCTTCACGTTCCATCTGTTTTCTGAAGGTTATTTTACATCATTCCATTCTACAGGATGTGGCATATCCTATCGATCCGCTAAGATCTATGTAGTTAGATCTCATTGTTTTGCAGCCTGTTGCCTGCTTGACACACTGTACCATAAACAGTGAGGCTACAGAGAAGGAAAAATGCAACTGGATTTCTGTAGGTTAATTCACAACATCTGATCACACAGGAGTCAACAGAGAGAGGTTTGGAAATCAGTCTTGTTGTACGTAGCTTATCTCTTTTTTCAATCTATCCAGATTTATTTTAATTATATCCTGTAAGTTCCAAGTAATATTAGCCCTAACTATTTAATAACATTTCCCATTTTACCTTCAAATATTGTTTTCATTCTTTTCTCCTCATCTGAGTGGTTTAACAACAAACATTCTGACTTTCCCCAATTTAATCCTGTTATACCCTCGAATTCCTCCAAATGTGATTTAAGCCTTTCTGTTGTTTTTATTGGATTTTTAACTATTAGTAATGGGTTATCAGCAAACAAGTTTATTTTACCATTTTCTTTATGTTCTATCCCTACAATCTGTTTATCATATCTAATTATCTGTGCCAATAATTCTATTATCATTGTAAATACTACTGGAGATAAGGGGCAACCTTGTCTTTTATTTCGGCCTAGGTTATTACATCATTAACTATTACTCTAGCTGTATTCTGTGAATATAATTAGTGAATTATATGCCTAAAATTAGGTCCAAACTCTAGATATTTAATTAATGCCTTTAACGTATCACTTTCCACTGTTTCAAATGCTTTAAATATGTCTAACGATAGTATTCTGGCTTTAGAGTTAGTTTCTTTAGCTAAATGCATTAAATTAAGTACCCTTCTCATTAAATCTGACATTTGTCTGCCTTGTATAAATCAATTTTGGTCTTTTTCAGTATAACTCCCCATAAAGTTATTTAATCTCTTTGCCATTATTGCCATGAATATCTTAGCATCTTGATTTATCAGTGACATGGGTCTATATGCTTCCATATTTATTTGATTTTTATATGGTTTCAATATTAAAACAATCAATGTCTCTTTCCATGATTGTGGGATTTCATCTCCCATTAATATCTTATTAAATAACACTTTTAACTTTGGTATAAGAAGCTTTTTAATTATAACATTCTGGGCCTAATTGATCCGTTCCAGGGGTCTTTCCTGTCTTTAAGTTATTTATAATATCCTCTATTTCTTTATCAGTAATTAGCTGTTCCATTTTATTTTTATCATCATCTAACAGTTTTTTTATTAAAATTGTTTTATATAATCTTCAATTTTCATTATAGAAGGATTTTTACTAGTATATAAAGTTTTATAAAATGTTTGAAATGCTTCCATTTTTTCCTTCATTTTATTACATCTTTTCCCATTCAAATCTTGTATTACTTCTATATTACTTTTACTCTTTTTATAGATAATACTTTGGCTAATAACTTGGAGTTCCTGTTACTAAATTAAAAAAAAATCTCTTTTTAGATAAATTATTTCTTTGTACCTTTTCCAGATGAATCCCTTCCAGTTCCTTCCTTTGCTTGTAATAGCTTTCTTATCTCTAGTTCTTATAACTATTTTTTCTAATTCCTTTATATTATCTTCTAAGTCCTGTATTCTCCGCCCCCCCCGCTGTACTGCATACAAGATGCTTTACATACATACCTTCTTGCCATAACTTTCATATTGTCCCAGATTATCTTAGGTTGACCTCCTCCCTTCTCATTTATTTCCCATGTCTTCTAAATCTTTTTGAAATTTTTCAATCAGGTTTGGATACCGAAAAATATTCGTATCAATTTTCCACCCTACTGCCTCCTTATAATCATATTTAAACATCAATTCCATATTCACTCTGGCATGATCCAATATTTGGATGACTTCAATAGCTGTATCATTTACCCTTGGCAGTAAATCTTTAGAGACAAATATATAATCTATTCTTGAATATGTATTATGCACCTGTGAGTGGAAGGAGAACTTTCTTTCTTTACCCTTTAATTCTCTCCAAACATATTTCAAATCTGTTTTATTAATTAATCTATTAGTATTAATATTAATATTGTACATTTAATTTAAAGACCAATTCATCTCTTGACTTCTGAAGAGAGGCATGCTTGACTGCTTTGACCCTTCATCTGCCTCTTACAGGCAAGAGATACTTACTGCTGAAGCCAAGTTCTTCTCATTCCGTTGCAGGGTGCAGAGGCCAGAAGAAACCTCCAGTAATGTCACCGTGCCTAGTTTTGAACCACAGCCAATGAAACGGCCATTGTCCTGTAAACGTAGGCTGAAGAGAGGATCATCACAGACCTGTTGGAGGTACAGCCATTTCAGGTGAGAAGGTGTGTGGATGAAAGGTCAATGTCAGGACATTCATATATATAATAATAGTGGGTGAAATGAATGCAAACATAGGGAACAAAGCAGAACCAAACATTCTTGGAGAATTTGGCCCAGGTGTCAAAAAGGAAGCAGGAATTAGATGAAGCTAGCAATTTGTTTATTGCAAATGCATGCTTCACACAACCTAACCAACAATTGTATACATGGCCATTACTGAATGGCCAATATAGAAATCAAATGGTCTACTCTATATAACTGGAAGAAAAAGGTGCAGAAAAGGAAATGGATTCTAAATGCAATCAAGTCAGAATTCTCAATAGAAGCTAAAATGTCTAAACTGATGTTATCATACTTGGGACATATAATGAGAAAACAAGAGTCACTGGAATACCTGAAGGTAGTAAAAAGAAATCTTTAAAAAAGTGAATGCAAGATGAATTGAGTCAATAAAGGACACCATGGCCCTGAGTTTGCAAGACCTGAACAGGATGTTAATGACAGGACCTTTTAGAGGTAATGAGTTCATAAAGTTGCCATAAATCAAAAGGGCTTGGTGGTTCATAGTAACAGCAATTCTTTCAAGAGATTTCAAAGCCAAGCCTAGCTAGGAGGTCAGGGGTATTACATTCAGCATCACAGAGAATGAACGGACATTAGAATAGATGGTTTCTTTTCCTGGATTTTATTAAAATACTGTCACCTCCATCATAATTCACATCCACTCCTTAAATAGAGGAAATTGCTACAAAAGAAACAAAAATATCCAAAACAAGCATTTCTATCATGTCAAACATAAATGTGCTCAGAGGATGTGGTACTGGCATTAGAATCTACTTGCCGCAGCCTTTCCACAATCTGGTGTCTCCAGAGGTGTCACCTTCCTCAACCAGCATAACTCCTGGCCATGCTGGTGGGATTCTGAAAGTTGCAGTCCAACTCTGAAGGGCACCAAATTTGGGGAAGGGTTAGGGTTAGCAGCTCAGACCATCTGCAAAGACCACAAGAAGTGACTTAAAATATCTTCCAATACAGCTCCTCTTTGAGAGTGGGACCCCTAGAAGAAGAAAAAAGGCTGGTATATAGAATTCTAAAAAAGGGATGCATTTCAGCCTAGAAACCCCTGAAATCACCTTCAAGCTGAGTGTAGGGTCGTTCTGTTTGAAGAGAAAGTCCCAGACATCAAGGGTGCCATCCATCTTGGTGGTGAAGAAAACAGCTGGCCGAGTAGTGCTCCAGCACCCATCCGTGAGGTACGCCATATGGTATCTGCCCCCAAACACAACGTTTTGCACATAATCTGCTTTGTGACAGCTCTTATCAGAAACATGGTCTAGAGCACTTTTACATTTATTGGGGCTGCTCCCCTTCATTTTGAAAGTGCTCTTCTAGATCAGATCATTGGTCTCATTTTCCTCAGTACTGCCTAAATTGGTCGATTTCCAGAGGTTTGCACAGGAGTTTTTCTGAGCGCTATCTGGTGAGTGCCAGGGACTCAACATGGAACCTCCTGCACGTGCCAACCTCCTGTCCTTTCACAATACAACCCCTTTTTCATCTCTGCTGTTCACTTTGTCCTTCTGCAACTCTCTCCAGCCCAAGACATCCAACATGGCTTGGTCTGTGTGGTATTCCTTGGGCTGTGCTTGTTGACAGGAAAAAAATGGATTATGGCCTTAAGGGCGAAAGGGAAAAAAAAACTCCACAGGCAGACAATTTTTCTCCCAGCTAGAGTCTGCCTTGTGCATTATACATTAGGGAGCCTCTCCCTTATAATGAGTTAGCATACAGCTGCAGGGTGTTTTCAGCCAAGTGATTGGTTAAAAAGCACCTTTTCCCAACAAACCACACAACAAGCTTGTCAAGGTGGCAGTCAAATGAAGAAAGGGTGAGAAAACACTGGATTGTTCAACCCTGGGGAGGAGTAAATGTTTGTGTTTTGCTTTCACTGTGTTCCTCTAAATCCCACTTGCCTTTTTTCCCTAACCTTGTTGTAAGATGTATATGTTTTACAGTACTTCCCACCCACAGTGAAACCGGACATGCATATGGCTTTGTGAACACTTTATTTCTCTTTGTAAATGTATGCATTCTTGAGGTGATGCATATTTCTTCTCACAAGTCTTAGAAGACATGAAAATTCTACTTCAATTAAGACTGTTGAATCCAAAGAATCTTTTTCTTTCCCTGTTCAAATCACAACTTGACTGGTCTCCTTCATCAAGATAGATAGTAACCCCCCTTGCCCCTCCCCCCAAAACAGACACTTGCAAACTCTCAGGCAGGACTAATCCTGACCACACTAAAGCTTCCTTACATCACACAGGCAGTAGTATGAAGACCTCTTGTGTTATTGTCAGTAGCTTGTCTTGGCAATTCAATATGAATACTCATACTAAGAACCACACAGCTCTCTTGTTGTTGTTTTTTATCATACTAATTAAAGGCTTTAAGTTTGTGTTACCTACTTAGTCCACATGATTGATGACTCTCTGCTCTCTTCTGACCAGATGCGGGCAGTCCAGTCCCCCACTGTCAAAAAGTTCTTGGGATAGAAAGGATTCCTGGACAGAGAATAGATGGGCCCATGGTGGCCACTGAATGTGCAGACAATTTTTTCAGCAGGAGTCTTGGCCTTGCGGTTGCAAGAAATCACGATTCCTTGTTCTGTTCCCACCATGAACTTGGTTGGCTGTAGAAACACAATAGAACACCACTGTCGTGTGTTGGTACTTCTTTCACAAGACAATGAAAATCCAAATGAAGGGACAACCCCCCCTTCCATCCCACACAGTAATTAAAGCCATCTGCAGCCCATAGTGTGCATGGAGTGGAAAAAGAAGTGATAATGGAGGAACAGTTTTTATAAATTCTGTTGTAAAGTTTAGTGACAGCTGCAGAGCCCAAACATGGAATTCAGCAGGCATACAGTTAACTAGGGCTTTAGTCAGAGAAAACAGATTTGTTACTCTTGAAGGCCATCAAGTGGTGAACAAGTAGGAATTTACAGACTATTAAAACCTGGAAAATTTCAACCTATGCACCATAGCTGAGTTAGCCTTTAGCCTAAATGCAGCAGTGCAGCATCCCCATAAGAAGTATACAGAAATAACCATTTGCAGAAAGATCCTTTTGTGTAGTTACACAAAATCCTTTTGTGGCTACACACAATCTTGCTGTGTCGCTGCACAAATGGTGTAACTTCTGGAGCCAAAATTAGTGTGATGCTTTCAGGAGTGGCATCATCTGACCCTAATTTTTTGTGCCACTTCACTATCTGGTCAACTGATCCTAGTCCCAGGATAGCTTTGAGCAGCCCCATTGATTGCCCTTTGAGAAAACTCATTCAGGCATTGCACTTCAGGTGCAGTAACAGTGAAGGAAGCTTTCTTTGCTGCTGCCACTGTTGTGATGCCACTAACCCTTCTAACCAGTATCCAGGCATATTTGCCAGAACTTATATTCCAAAGACTGTTGGAAAGGCCTTGTGCTCTTTAACAGGTCCTTTACGAGGCCAGTCCTTCTCTACTTAATCTATTTTCCTCCCTGTCTCTGAGCTAGGCTGTAGAGATCTGATGATCACCAAGCCATGCTGTGCTAGATCTGAAGCAGTAGAACTACCACCGAAACTTTGGATCCTGGCTTAAAAGCTGATCCAATTCCTGACTTTCGACCTTGGTGATGGACCTGTGTACCAGACAAACAGCAAAATGAGGGTGGTTCTTCCTTCTGCCTTCCACCCCAACTCACTTCAATTCAGGAGCAGGAGTTTGGAGGACAATAACATCTTCCCAGTAACAAAGAGAATCTTTCATTCTCCAGGCTTTGCAAGCTTTCTGTCTTTACAGATGATTGGAAGTTAGGTTTGCATGGTGGTGACCATCCCTGCCTGCATGGGCATACAAAAGCAGGATGTGTGAGGTACTTATCAAATTAGCCTCCCTGCTGCCCCTCAGAAAACCTGCCATCTCAGTGATTAGGGGCTTTGTAAGGCCAAGCAACAAAGAGAAGAGATAAAATACGCTTGATCAAGTTTCAATCCCTGCTGGCTGGAGAGATTAGGCCTTTACAAATTGAAAAAATGGCAGCCATTTTAGAAGTCGAAGAATCAATACAGCCTTAGACAATGTGTCCTGTCTAAAATGGAGGTGAGTCGTACAATAGCCTTTCAAGCTGCATGATTCCGCAATAAATTTATCACATTTACAAGGCATGGGTGTCTATTATTTTTGCCTGAGTGTGACAATACTGGCTCCAGGCTTTGTAGTGAGATTGAAAGGAAAGAAAGTGGGTAATTTTATTATACGAAGTTCTACTTAGAGGGAGGAAATATATTCATGAGGCTTAGCAGTCCCAGGGCCTAAGAAGAAATTTATGGAGGTGGGCCTGCCAGAAGGGCTGAATTCTCTAAAGTCAGTGGTGTCCAGCTGAATTTGAGGACTAGTAGCATATGTTCAGTTCAGTTTATTACAAGGCATGTTAGATTGCTCGTACTGTATAAGAAAAGAATATTAGAAATTGAAACATATCTATGGACTCCCAGTATCTTCTGGTCAACTTTTCCTCATTCTTAGAATGAGGAAAATTTAGAGGGTGAGCATTTAGAGGGCGAGCATTATCCACCGAGACTGTTCAGTGATGTGAAGTTCTTCATTAGCTGTTATCTCTCCTTTTTATAAATTGGACACTGACGTCTCAGGAATCTCACATGTACTTAGAAGCTGAGCCCAAGCATTATGTTCCCAGGACCACTCTGAATATGTAAATTCCCTCCCCTGAGACCATAATCTCTCACCCTGTATATATGCAGCTTATCTTCCGTTATTTTCCATATAAATATGTAATGGGAATTGCTGCCTGGGCCAGAGCACTGTGGATCTCTGGGTCCCAATAACATTTAGCTCCCCCTCCTCCAAATCTAGGGTACTACTTAAAAGTGGTACTCTAGTGTGAGCAGTAATATTTCATGCCTGAAACAGACATGAAAACACTCAGGCACGCATGACACTTGAATTATAAAAATATTACTGTTCCCCTTGCAGCAGCTTTTCTGTTGCTACATATGTTACATGCCCCAAAGCTGAGTTTGTTCCCCAGTAGTACTCAAAATTGCTAGTCTGGAGGAAAATATTCTAATAAAGAGGTTCTGTGTTATGTATCATGAAAATTCTACACCGTTTTAACATGGTTCTCTATCCTGAGCTAGACATAAGTCCTTATTTCAAAATCTGTTACTCTGTGCAAATGTATATATTGCCACTTCACTATCATGTATTCTCCTTAACAGATCTGTTTTCATTCTGGTTGATACATCCTTTCTCCTTTAATCACCTATCCCCATATTATTACAGGAACTCAGAACAAATTTTGATTCATTCTGAAACACGAAGAAGCCAGGAAATATGACCAAGCAGCAAAGCATTCTCTAAAGTCATACTCTCCCAACTTGAGACTGCATTTGACTGCAGACACCTATGACTAAAAATATCCAGCCAACAATTTTTGGACTGCTATGCTTTTTTCCTCAGCCCAGTTTTTGCCGTCTAGCACAATGAAGAGTTCTCAATAACTTGAAACGTGTGCATTTTTGTGAATTTATAGGTGACCCCAACAGAAGTCACTGGCCTGTTGTGGAACTGTGAATCTGCTCTATTTCTGTGGATCCACATACCCAACCTTCCCTCCTGGAATGAAACAACAAAAGACTCACCATGGTTGGTTCAAATTCCAGTGAAATGGCTCCTAGAGCATTTTCCAAGATGCTTTTCCTACTGATGTCCATCACCAATGTCTCAGTTGGTTCGGATAGTTTACGAATGTCCCACCACATGACCTGGCAAAGAGAAATGCACATTACTGCCACTGTTTTTTTCCTTTCTTTTTTGGGGTGAGGCGCTACATTATGGGTGGCTTCCAAAAGCCAGTTTACAACCCATGAGATGCTGATAATCACATGGAAATGGACCCAAATGGGCAAAAATTGAGGGAGGAGGGGAATCAGAACAGGAAGTGACTGGTCATCCATTTCTGGTTTTCATTACTTTTTTTTTAATTGGTGGTTGCGGGTTAGAGGAATCTCTCACTCTCTGAGTGCAGAAAAGCTTCTCCTGTATGCATCTATGAATAGAAAAGCCTATTTTAATTCTGCACACACACAAAAACTGTTTTTTTAAAAACAAACTGAAGTGATGATCTGATGGAGGCCCAGAGGGCCTACAGAACAGCCTTGAGACTGTATAAGACTCATGAGCTGCACTTTGCCCACCTTTGATGGAAGTTCTTGCACCACCATCTTCTACATGAAGTCTATCCATTTTCTTAGCATTATTTGTCACAATGGGCATCCAGCGTGGTCCTTACCTGCCCATCTGTAGAGCCGGAGAAGCAATCAGTTCCAGTTTTTGACTGTAGCCAGATCACATTGTACACCGGATCACGGTGACCAAGCTCAACTGTGGTCAGTTCCACTGGCAGCCCTCCTTTACGGGTATCCCAGTAAGCTGAGGGATAGCAAAAGATAGTGGACAAGGACCACCAATGCTATTATAGCTCCCTCTTTCTTTAAGCTTACTGTCACCTTCTTGAGTCTCTTCCACATGAAAGCTGCCATTGACTCTTTCTTCATGTTTTTCTGTATAGCAGCCATGCTGCTGTGTTTTAGTTACATGAAAAACAAGGCAAAGATCTTGTGGCACCTTTAATACTATGGGTACAACCACATTGGCACTGGTTTGATTCTCAGTCCCTTTTGTGACTGCATTTGGTTTAGGTGATCACACAAAGACTCTGTGTTGTTTTGGTGCCAGTGTCCACACTGGACTCCCAATCTTATACAGTTCGATCTGAGCCCAACAGTCCCCCTTCCTTTGATACTGCCTTGCTGTTATGATCCGCTATCAAGCCACTAGGGTTGATTCCTAACCTTGGGCCCCAAAGTATACAGTTCGATCTGAGCCCAACAGTCCCACTTCCTTTGATGCTGCCTTGCTGCTGATCGTCCACATTCATGTTATGATCTGCTATCAAGCCACTAGGATAGTTTAAAGCAGTGAGTCCTAACCTTGGGCCCCAAAATGTTCTTGGACTAAAACTCCTAGAAGCTTTCAACACTAGTTGTGCTAGCCAGGATTTCTGGGACTTGTAGTCCAAAAATACTTGGGGTCCCAAGGATGGGAAACAATGATCCAAAGAGTTTTATGTGTTGTATTGCTGGACACAATCTGATAAATTCTATTCAGAATATTTTATAATAAAATAATACCTGCAGAGAACAGGTATTATTGGTGGCAGTGTTACAGCTTATATACTGTACATTCACAGCAGGGGAAAGCTTAGCCCACCACATGTGGCTGTGCAACTTCATGCATTATTTTAGGGCACAGATGGGCAGACCAGAGCCCGCCGGAGGGTGTGTGTCACATGAAGGCCTCCCCCCCAAGCACTTTGCACCCCTTGGCTCTGTGATGATCTCCTCTCCTTCTGGCAGAAAACATGAATTGCATCTCCTGGAAGCCTTCAGGAGGAGCAGTTGACTTTTTAAACAGTTCACAGCCTCCTACATCATTTAATACCCCAAATATAATTTTTTTTAAAGCTATGGAAGCGGATGTCTGGCCATTTCTGGTTTCATTTTTTTGCCCTTTTGGCATTCTGACTGTGCAGCCCCTGGAGAGTCCTCTGGACAAATAAACTGGCTCTTGAACGCCCTGAAGTTATGCCCTCACTCCTGTTTTAAGGAGTGCGGAATGCATATCTAAAAACCATTCAAACAATGCGATCAAATCTCTCAAGGCTGGCAGGAATGGAGTAACTTGAAATGACAATGGAGATAATTCTTATTTCGAAGTAATTGTTGCCTTTCTAAAGGGGGGGAAGGAAGTCGCGGGTGATCTGGGGCAGAAGCAGAAATGCTGGCGTATGCGTTATACCCACATCAAAGCTGGTCCATTATCAAGGGCTCCCTCTCTTTTTACAATAGGCAGAAGGGGCGGTTTTTGCAGACGAAGCAGGAAATTGGTTTCCCCCTCCATGGTTCGATTATAATTAAGCAATTGGAAGTGACAGAATGCAATTCACTTGGCTATTACTATACGCCTGGGAAGGCTCATGAAAGACAAAGTGAAATCCACTGTCCCTTCTACCACCTAAGCGGGCCTGATAACAGTCCTGTAACACATACCCTGTCATATCTGATTGCTGCTGAAAACAGCAACCCAAACAAAAAAGGAAGTATAATTGAATCAAAAGGCACAGGAAGGTGGAAAATTAATACCAGCATAAACAGGACTAGCAAACTGGGACCTCATGGCTTGCGGCACACAATAGCCCATTACTGTTAACCAGGGTTTTTTTTGGGGTGGTGGTGGAACAATTATGTACAAGTCTTCATAGCAGTGGCCATACACCCTAACCCTTTCAACTCTACACAGGTTCCCTAGAGCTACAAAGCTACTTGATTGCTACAAAGATAACTTATCAGTCACTCTGAGCACATCCAGACAGGCATACTCTTCATAGCAGTGGCCATACACCCTAACCCTTTCAACTCTACACAGGTTCCCTAGAGCTACAAAGCTACTTGATTGCTACAAAGATAACTTATCAGTCACTCTGAGCACATCCAGACAGGCATACAGCTTGCTACTGTATTTGGATTGCTTTTGGAGCTGTTTGGTTTGAATCACCCTATGGCCTCCATACATGTTTTGACTTAGTGTGATCCATCCTGCCCCTTTTCAGAGCTGTCGTGTTCCTTTCTGGCACAGGTGTGTGGTTTTTAGGTGCAATTTGGAGTGCTTCTGATTATCCTGTTCTATAGCCCATGCTATAGGGACGTGGTGGCGCAAGGGACGTGGTGGCGCTGTGGGCTAAACCGCAGAAGCCTGTGCTGCAGGGTCAGAAGACCAGCAGTCGTAAGATCGAATCCACGCTACGGAGTGAGCTCCCGTCGCTTGTCCCAGCTCCCGCCAACCTAGCGGTTCGAAAGCATGCAAATGCAAATAGATAAATAGGGACCACTTCGGTGGGAAGGTAACAGCGTTCCGTGTCTAAGTCGCACTGGCCACGTGACCACGGAAGATTGTCTTCAGACAAACGCTGGCTCTATGGCTTGGAAACGGGGATGAGCACCGCCCCCTAGAGTCGAACACGACTGGACAAAAATTGTCAAGGGGAACCTTTACCTTTACCTTTATAGCCCATGCAGATAGTTAGTTCACACCAAAAGAAAGCTGTGGGCAATGTTATCTGGCGGAACAACCCTGTGCCGATCCTGCTGCTTCCTGCCCAGCTGTGGCCGCCTCTTCCCAGGCAGGAAAGGTGGGCTGGACCGGGGTGCAAGGGGCGCTGCTCCTCCTCTGCGGAAGAGGATCCAGGAGGGTGGCTTCCCAGACATAGTTGGTGCACTGTGGTATTGAAAGCGATGGAAAACTTCTCTATTTTCGTTTACTTTACCATTTAATTTTTTAAAAAAAAATTAAATGCAAATAGATAAATAGGGACCACTTCGGTGGGAAGGTAACAGCGTTCCGTGTCTAAGTCGCACTGGCCACGTGACCACGGAAGATTGTCTTCAGACAAACGCTGGCTCTATGGCTTGGAAACGGGGATGAGCACCGCCCCCTAGAGTCGAACACGACTGGACAAAAATTGTCAAGGGGAACCTTTACCTTTACCTTTATAGCCCATGCAGATAGTTAGTTCACACCAAAAGAAAGCTGTGGGCAATGTTATCTGGTGGGACAACCCAGTGACATAGTTGGTGCACTGTGGTATTGAAAGTGATGATGGAAAACATCTCTATTTTCATCCACTTTACCATTTAATAAAATTACTATTAATGCAGCACTATTCTAGATAAACAAAATAATTACATTTTTAAAAAGGAAAATAAAACACATCACACGCACTACAGGAGCCTCAAATTTTTTTTAAAAAAATACTGGAGTTAGCACAGTTTAAATGAACATGCTAAATAGCATCCATACTATACAGACCCTATACCTCCTTTTCAGTACTCCAGCAAAGCAAAGTGATTCACTTTAACCAGGACGTAAGGCATGCAATGAGCCCTCCCACCATGTCTTTTGCTATGTGTTATGTACTTCTGCCTACCAATCTGTCTGCTTACCAATCTGGCCATTGTAGCACCCTCCAATCAGAATATGTGAGTCTTTGGGGTTGTATTCCAAGCAGACGAGAGGCGAGGCGGGGCGGAAGGCCATTTCTGGTTTGTTGGGGATTTCTAAGAAAAGGAAAGGACACAAAGACTGGTACAGATTTTTTTTTAAAAGTTTGGTATAGTGCTTGCTAGACTATGTAACTCTTAAACGTTACATAGTCTAGGCAAACGTTTATTAGTTTTACTAATGAAAGAAAGGCCATGATGTCTCCCCCATATTTACCCTCTAGGTCATGAAGAATCATAACAATATCATGCAATAATACCAGGCCACTCATCCCTCTGCCACCGTTATCCCTGGAGATAAAGTCTGTAGTTTGGCAATGCTTTTATTGGATTAGTAAAAAGTTACAAATAAAATAAGCTTTCAGGTTCTTCAGAACTCCTCATTAAGTGAAGATGTTGTAATATTTTTCTGAACAATGTTTTCTCTATATTGTCTCACAGACACAGAAAGAACTCATTTTCAGAAAAAGAGCTGAGAAAAAGGTAGTGATGAGGACACGCAAGAACCAATTCTTGAAGCAGCATCTAACCATTTTTTAAAATATCACTAGTTTATACTTTTCATAACCATTCTTATTTATGATCTTCCTGAACATCTAAAAATAAATGGTCTGTCTGTATTGAGACAAGCTTTTTTATCTTTTAACATATCCATTTATTCAATGACTGACATATTTCTAAATGCAAACAAGCTTCTTTCACATGTCACAAAAAATGGAGAAATCTGAAGAAGGCAAGGACAGGTTGTCAAAGTTTGTGGTGCTGGATAAAGGCTTCGGTGCTATGTTGTGGGAAGGATCTGCTTGGTGGAATCCAAAACCATATCTTAACTAAATATCTGAAGAGGCTCTCTACTTTAGAGCAACTGAAAGTTCTTTTGCAAAATCAAGTCCTGCGGTTATTTTGTAGGAGTAAAGGCTGGGTAGTGACATGGGGACAGCTTGCCTGAAATATTTCATTCATTATTCTAAAAGAGAGCATTTCATAATACTTTTTAAAAATGTTTTTAAAAAATCTCAAAGTCTAGAGATAGGAAAACATTTCCCCCTGAATCATCCCTGTTTTCACCCCAACTCCCCAAATCATCACATTTCTAATTGTCTATTGCTATTGAATACGCTTTTGTTGGAATATGGGGCAAATTCAGCTGAATAATGCAGGTACAATGTGGGGCACAACAGAAGAATAGGAGGTGGAATTTATAGTGAGACTAGCCTGATGAAATAAATCACAGCAGCCCTGAAAATAAGCAGCTGGCATACAAATACAACACACTAGTCTCTTAGCAAGCTATTAAAACTGCTTTCTACAAAGGGAACTGGCAGAGAAGGAACGGAGCATATGAACCTTCCTCTGCCAGCTGGCTCTGTTTCCATGTTGCAGGCAGAGGAACATGCATTCCAGCCTCAGAAGTGAGCATGGAAGTCAAGTGGGTTGGCGGAAGAGAAAGCCAGTTGATGATCCTTCCCAGAGTGTAAAAAAGCTATTTTTTTGGACTAGAACTTCCAGATTCCCTCAGCTGACATGTTTCTTGGCCATACTGGCTGGGTGATTCTGGGTGTTAGAGAAAGTCCTTCTCCAGGTCCTGATCCTTCCCTGTTCCATCAACTGCTCTCTCCTCTGCACTAAGCATCTTCAGTCAAGCTGTTTAATATAAGGCTGCAGTTGAGTGAGACAAGATCAGGAAAGAGAAGACTTCTGCATCTTCCTTGGGGTGTAGGATGTAAATGGAAGCATAGATGAGTTTGGACAGACCAGCCACTACTTGAGCTGCATTTTGGTAAAATGATGCCTAGGCTGTCATGCTGCCTTTTATCGCCTTACCAAGATCCCAAATGTACGAGTCATAGCTCATGTCTGCCAAACACCGCTGGAATTCCAGGCACGAATATGCTACTGCCAGCTTTCGGCTTCTGTCAGGGTGCCAGGAGAGATGTGTGGCTGTTCTTTTGATTGGATTTGGGTCCCTTTTGGATAAAGCAAAAGACAATGGCAGTTGTCAACTTATATGCTAGAGGCCGTGCCATGAAATCGCACTGAGAACTGAATGTCACGTACATCTGTTTAAACTACAAAGTAATTTCAAGGAAGCTCTGTCGATACCTTTAACAAGTGAAAAACGATGCAAACACTTTCAGGTCCAAATGTCTACAGATCAACTGTTTCAAACACTGTTACTGTTGTTTCATTAGTATGTGTATAGACATCAACACTGCGGGTTTTGAAAATATGAAGCTGCCTTATACTGACTGAGGCAGAGCACTGGTTCACTTACTTGAGCAGTGTTTATATACACCAGTGCACATATGTATGTGTATGTATGTAAGTGAGAATTTCTGGTTTCTCTTCAGATTGAAAAAGATTGAGAGAGAGAGAGAAGAGAACAAAAGGAGAGTCATCCATAGAAGGAGGGTAGAACACCCTGTTTCCTCTTGCCACTCCCAGCACTGCAATCTGCTTTGCACACCTTGGGTGTTGACAAAGGTTTCTAACATCACGCTTTCCATCAGACATCAGGTTTGGCCTTGGGGAAATCTAAATTAATCATTACACTAAATCCACCCAACTCTGAAGAACCAACTAAAGACAGCTAGGAATGCCTTCCATGTAGGTTAATTTTCAGAAGCTCTCAAAGAATGCTACCTGAAAGTAACTTAAAACATACATAACAAATGGATGCTGCCAATCAACATGGGAAAGAGATTCCTATTCTTCTGATGCAGAATATGCAGATAATTTAAAATTGATTATGATTATGGTGCTTTTGGGGAAACACCTGCTGAAGGAATTGATCTTTGCTTTGCTCTTAGTTCACAAAGCCAGTAGCCGGTACTAGTAGCCACAATAGCGAAACCATAGACTATCTCTTCACATTGGACGAGAATCTAATCCTGAAAGCAAAGAGGCTCCTGGATGCTAAAGTATTACCTGAAGACATTGATTGTTTTTGCTGAAGGAGACTCATCGGTAACTCCTGCCATCTCCTCTTCCTCAAAGTACTCTTCATAGATATTGATGGCATTATTCTGTTTGATGCAATGATCCATCAGCTACAAAGTGAGCAAGAGAATCAGTTAGTAGACAACCAGAGAACAAATTCTGGAATGTTACAAGGACAGATTCAAAACAAGGAAAACATCTTGAACAATCTTACACTGCCAAGCTGTGTAATGACATTGATATAGTTCTCATCTTTCTCCACTTTCTTCCGGAAGCGAATGGTCTGTTCCATTTCCAGTGGGTTGACATCTTTAGGCCAGCCGCCTTCTACGTGGTTAATGCCTCGAGTTTCCATTTCAAACCTTTCTGTGTTTACCTGAAGTAAAGGAACATTTGAGAGATAGGATGATGGCCATCATCAGGTATGTGAAGTTGTTGTTTAGTTGTTGTGTCCGACTCTTCTTGACCCAATGGACCAGAGCATGCCAGGCTCTCCTGTCTTCGACTGCCTCTCAGAGTTTGGTCAAATTCATGTGAAGAGTTGCCCCTTAAAAAAATGGAGCAACATTGTTTTCTGTTGCTCTAGGAAAGCAGAACTCAAACCAAAGTATTCACAACACAAGGTTTTAAAAACATATTAAGAAAATGTTTGACACTGGAAAGCTGTTCAACATTGGAATGAGCTGCACCTAAACCTGGATGATTTTACAACAGGTTGGAATGCTTTAGTCGTGGGTTTCTGTCAGCAATGCTTTAGCTGTGCAATTCCTGCACTGCAGAGTGTTGGACTAGATGACCCTTGAAGCTCCTTCCAACTCTATGATTCTACAAGTACCTAACTTCAATTGCCTTCAGAAGTGTTTGGGTGGTGTTTTAAAATTCATTGTTGGCTTCAGACCAATACTTAAAGCAAATTTCACACAGGTGAGTGGTACTGCTCCCAGTAGGCAGAAAATTAATGTACTCTTTTTTTCCTCAACAGAGAAAAACCATTTATCTAACAGAAATAAATATTGTAGGCAGAAAATTAATGTACTCTTTTTTTTCCTCAAAAGAGGAAAAACCATTTATCTAACAGAAATAAAGAAATCTGCTTTTCAATAAAATCGCAAAAATATACAAATAAATCAAGCTCAAAAAATAGAAGAAATTGGAAATCTGCAGTACCACAGAGTAATCCATTGGAGTCTCAATCAGTTTATGAAACAAATACATTTCATTTGTGCTTGCTGAGAAGCTATACAGAAAACAAAGGCAATGTGGAATACTGTCAGCAGAATGTTATAACTTTTGAAGAAGTGGAATAAAGTACAAAATTAATGTACTCTATAAGGCAATGCTGCAAGACATCTAGCATATTACCTCATGCTCTGACATGTCACTGGCACATTGTACTCCAGTATCAATGGGGTCTCTTTCAATAAAATTCATAGCTAGCACTGGATCTGGTTGAATGTCTACATTGATCTCCGCCATTCTGTCGGAAAAGTTGCATTGTCGTCCAAATTCGCTGCGTTTCTTCACGTAAACATAGACAATCTCCATGCTGCTCACTTCCAATGGGAGAGAGAAGGCACATATTTGGCATCACTTTAAAATTGTCATTCAGAATGCACAATTCACCTCCCACACCATATATCACTTGTTGAGAAAGCAGAAAGCCAGCCATTCAAGTGTAGCAGATGTGGGTTAACAACTTTTAGTTTTAGACACATGTTGAAAACATACCAGTTCATGCAAACTTTCCCTGTACAGTACAACTTCCCATCTATTTCATTAATCATATACAGTACTGTATTTATTATATGGTAATTTGTATATTGTGTGTATGCTTTCTGTTCTTGTACACTACTTAGAAATTATCTAAGCAGTTCATACCTATTAGTACTACATACATACATGCATGCATGCATACGTACATATATACATACATACCTTGCAAAGGCCAGAGCAGTCACTTCTAATTAATGCAACATGCATACGTACATACATACATACATACCTTGCAAAGGCCAGAACAGTCACTTCTAATTAATGCAAGGGTGGATGGTGACTGGAGATCAATATATCCGAAGTAATAAACTTACATTGATTTTTTTTAACTCTGCAGAAATAAAATACCCAAAGCATCACTCCTAATGTTTCCATCCAATACAGTAATTTTATTTTAAAAATGTATTTTCCCACAATTCAAACTACATTCTGTTGGCACTGAAAATACTGTTTCTTCCCAGCTAACGAACCAATTAATCTTGCAAATTCCAAGGGGAATGTAGCTACCCGAATGTCACAGACATTAATTGGACAGTGACTATGACATCACTGATGAAGAGTGATGCAACATTCTCTTGTAATATTCCCACATCAGGTCCATGTTGTGACTTTTTATAAAAAAAATTCTGCTGGGGAATTATGGATTTTGATAGTATCTAGGTAAAAGTATCTTTTGAGCTTCACAGTCTCTATCGTAAATGAACCAAGGCTGAAGTTTTAAATCTGGAAGGCTGAATGCTTGAGGCAGCAAAATTTCAGCGGGGAGGGGGCATCAGCTTGTCTCTAGGCTCTCTATCTATAAATTAGTTTGTGGCAATGAATTATCTGACTCCAGCAGATTCTTAAACAAGTTTCTGGAAAGGGCAGCTGTGTTGAACTGCTGAAGCAGAACCAACACACGGCCCTGTAGCACCTTAACAATTAATAAAATAGCACCAGAAACTATAACTTACTTCACCAGTTGCATGACGTTTTACTGAGTATTTTGGGCATACATACCGTCAGTGGTGAACTATAGACAGTGAAGTCAAGGGAAAACTAAATGCAGAAAGGACTAACAGTGACAGTTATGTTATTGATTGTGACAATTCTGTCATTAACATTAGTCAGTCACTGCTGACCATTCCAGTGTTCATGCCAGGGAATAAAGCTCAGCCTGACACATTCTCTGACCTGTGAGAAGAGGCAGCTTGGCAGAACTGAAGTCTAACTCTGGCAGTACGGAAGGGTAAATTGTATGTGACAGGTCAAGGACGAGAAGAGGTCCCAGGAGACAGGGAACAAACAGGGCAGAAGGGTCAGAGTTGAGGAAGGAGGATAGGGGTCCATAGGAAAGATGGACTACAGGGGCTGGAAAGAAGAAACAACGGATCAAGGAAAAAATTGAAGGATTCTAGGCTCCCAAGACTGTCATATCTGAGCCCTAGAGTGGACATCTCTGCCTCTGAAGAGTTAAAATGGTGGAGAGAGGACCAAGAGACAGTGCAAAACAGTGTGGTGCCAGAAAATACACAAGCAATAAACAGTTGGTGGGCTGCACATTTCTAGGCTTGTTGCTTGGTTTTTATTTTTTATTTTTGTATTAATTTGAAAGTAAATAAGATGCATTTCTACATCCGTGTACAATACTCTCCAAATCCTAGGAGGTACTAGTCCCCCTTTATTTGGCACAGGTTAGCCCTCATATTGAGCACTATGTCCAATTCTGGACACTGCACTTCAAGGACATCAACAAATTGGAACAAGTTCAGAGGAGGGGCAACAAGGATGATCAGGGGGCTGGAAACCAAGCTCTATGAAGAATAACTGAAAGAACTGAGTAAGTATAGCCTCGGAAAAAAGGAGACAGAGGGGAGATACAACAGCACACTTCAAGACTCTTGCAGAGTCCGGGCGGCATACAAGTCGAATAAAATAAATAGATAGATAAATAAATAAATAAATTACACAAAGGATTGTCATACAGAGGGGCAGGATCTGTTCCCGAGTGCCTGGCACGCAACAATGGGCTCAAGTTACAGGAAGCCAGATTTCAATTGAATATCAGGATAAACTTCCTGATAGAGCAGCAGGGCAACCGAACCAATTGCCTCAGGAGGTGTTGAGTGCTTCAACACTGGGGGCATTCAAGAAAAACTTAGATAATCACCTGGCAGATATCCTTTGATTGTATCCCTGCATTGAGCAGGGGGTTGGACTTGATGGCTTTAGAGTCCCCTTCCAAGGTCACTATTCTATGATTCTATGATATGCAGAAAGAAAAGACAGGGCTTTGGAGGAGGAGGCAGGGAAGAACAGCCTGCAGCGGAAACCTGAACCAAGACAAAGGAGGAGGGAGGAGGATTTTCATCCGATTGGAAAACTGACGACCCCTCAAGATGGTGTTGAATTCTACCTCCCATCATCCCTGCTGGACTGGTTGATCATGAGGGATAACAGGAGGTCAACCTCTGAATATGTGAAAAATAAAGAACAGAGGGTCTCTGTGCATGTGCAGAATCAACATCCCTTTCCTTATCCTAGCGAATACTTGCAGTTAACATCCTACAAATATAGGGTTAGGGTTACCAGATGGTGAGACCTGAGTCCCAGCACCCCTAGAATTACAAACTGGGCAGAGCAGGAAAAAAAAAGGAGATGGTGGTTCATGGAAAGGTCCAGGGTTTCTACCAAACTGGCCCCGAGCATGCGGGGAGACGGAAGAGGGCTTCTCGGCCATTCCACGGCGACAAGGTGGAAAGACCAGGGATGAAGGAGGAGCGAGTCGCTGCCCTCTACATGCCCACCTAAACAAATCCTTACCCTCCCTTCCCTCTCCCTCCCGCGCGACTTACCTTCTTTTTTCCCCCCCAGCTGAGCAGATTCCCGGGATTGGAGAAGCGTTTTCTAGTATCTTAGCAACCACCGCATGAATCACATTCTGGGCGGAGCTAAAGAGAGGGGAAAAAGTGCCGAGACTTCGACTGCGTAGCGGGGGGGGGGGGGAGACCATCTGTATGTGTGTGGGGAGAGTGATAAAAAGAAAAGTAGTCCCCTCCGCTGTCTCAAATGTGGTTGTTCCCTTTTACGGAGGAGGTGCGAGGCGGGGGGGGGGGAAGAGACCATCTGTATGTGTGTGTGTGTGTGGGGTGATAAAAAGAAAAGAAGTCCCCTCCGCTGTCTCAAATGTGGTTCTTCCCTTTTACGGAGGAGGTGCGAGGGGTGCCTTCCCGTCCAAATGCCTGAAAGCTATAATACGTTTAATATGTGTATTAGGCCGACTCAAGGGTTCCGAAAGGGCGAGCAAGCTTTTGCGTGCACCAGAAGAACTCTTTCCTCAGGCAGGGCATTAGGCGAAAGGAAAAATTAAAAGGGGAGCGGTATTCAAATTCAGCTTTGGCAGGAGCTCAGCTAGTTGCAAGTGTCTGGCGAACTTCTCCGCTAAGCAAGCAAACAAACAAAAATAACAGATTCTCCCTTTTCACCTTTATAGTCTCTTTCTCTCTCTCTCTTTTAGAATATAAAATCCATCAATTCTTATTACACGAATGGCCCTGCTTCCATCATAGCGGCAACGAAAGGAGAGAGAGAGAGAGACTGAGCACGAAAACTGCCTCTGCACATCCGGAGAGAGAGAGAGAGAGAGAGAGATTGAGCACGAAAACTGCCTCTGCACATCTTCATTTGTGCCTAGAACAGGTTGGCTGGAATGAGAGCCGAGGTGGCTGTGTGGGTCAAAAGAAAAGGGGAAAAAAATCTCAAAAAGCCTTTAGGGCAATACTTTGGCCAAAACAAAAAGTCAAGTCAAGGTGAAGCTTGTTGAAGAACAGAAAAGCTTCGGGCTGGTCTGTGACCTTGGAGCTGTTGACCTTGGACCTGGATGGAGGACATAGTTCTGCCACAGTTGGCCTCTGTCCTTGAACTTCAGTGTCTGGCCATGCCTTGACCTTGGCCATAGTGGCCTGGTGTCCAACAGTGGAAGGGCCAGAGATTCCCCAACAGGTTGCCAATTTGTTTTGAGATAATAACATGTGGGGTCTTGGTTTGAAGTTGCCAATTTGTTTTGAGATAATAACATGCAGGGTCTCAGTTTGAACCAATGTGGTGTAATGGTTAGAGTGATGGACAATGAATTAAGAGACCTGAGTTTGAATTTCCACTGAGGCATCGAAACTCACTCGGGTTGCATGCCACTGATAAAACCAGTTCTTAAGTATCCCACTTACCTGAAAACCCTATTTATAGTGACTGTAAAGTGGAGGTGACTTGATAGTACACCACACACAAATACATAATGGGGAGGGGCTCCTTATGAACCAAATTGTTATGCTACTACACATTGCCTGGAATGGTGAAGGAGGGATGCTTCCGGGCACGTGCGGGGTGCATTATTTCTCTGTACTTCATCCTTATACATCCACCAGGCAGGGTGTTTGATAGATAAGAACAGCAATACACAGATTGTCACATGAGATTCCAGGCCTAGAGACTACTTAATGTGATGCTTGAGTGGAGTTATTCCTGGTAAGTATATGTTTAGTGGCCCCAAAGGGGCACACTGAAAGGAGTGAGTAGTTCTGTGTAAAAAACTGAAGATATAAACGAAATGGCTATTCACAGCTCCAGTACATGGTGGTAACACAGTCACCCCAGTTTTGCCGTGGTAATTAGCTACTAAGTAGGTCAGGATCCTTTGGTCTCATTTCATATTTAAACAAACAAAGCTAACCATGAAATCTGACTATCTCATTTTCGGTTGAAATACTTTTTCTGGAGAGTGGTATCTTTGGAGTGCCCCGAGGGAGAAACAGTTGTTCTCACATTAGATAATATTGATTGATTGAGTAGTGAGTGTACTTACATACCTCCCCATTAGTACACAGCACTATTCTAGGTGGTTTTAAATAAAACCAGCAAAATAAGTAAAACCCGCATAAGCCCAGTTGGCACATTAATATCAAAAATGGCAGAGCAGAGATGCAAAAGAGGCTGCTTTCAAAAATAATACTAATTCTAATAGGAAATATATGCAGACCAATGGCCTTTTTGTCTACCACTTTGTTGGCATAATAGCCAGCCAGTTGCTTATGGGTAGCCAGCTCGCAAGACTCCCCTCCATCTTACATTTCCCAGCAACTGGTGTATACACAGAGGGAAACTGCCTCTGATGCTGGATGTGCAGCATAGCAGTCATGATTTGGAGCCACTGATGGCTCTAAACCGTGTGGATTTATCTAAATCTTTTAAAAGCAATCTGTGTTGTGGCCAGCACCATATCTTATAGCAGCAAATTCCATAATACATCTTATCTTTTGAGTCTGTTTTGCAATTGATTATTCCTAGTACCTCTTTGAGCTGTTTATTTTTCACTTTACTGAGTGGGTGATGTAGTCTGGGAAGGTTAATGTGTTGCAAGTAAAGTGTCAGACTAGGACTCACTAGACCTGGGTTCAAATCGCAGTCTAGATTCTAAAATATGCCTGTTGTGAGTCCTCATGATGCAGGTTCCTATCCCACAAGGTGGAACAGATGCAACCTTATTAGCATCACTCTATAGACAAGGACTGGGAAATGTATTGGACTGTTCCAGCCAGCATGGCCAATGGTGAAAAATGATGGGAGCTGCACTTCTTGACGGCCACACATTCCTTTTTTTCCTGGTATAGAAAATGAATCCTGTAGTGGAAGCTAAAAGTGTGGAGGTGTCTGAATGCTAGAATTATAGGCAGGGTTTACATCTCTGGTACAACTCATGAGTTCAGTGACAGAGCCTGTCCATGGCAGCTTCATCATAAAAGGGACCCGGTAGTAGGTGATAGGCAGAGCTCTCTTGTGAGATCTGGGACAGCCACTGCCCTTTAGAGAAGGCAGTCCTTGTTTACACAGCTGCTTGCCCTTTGGGGTAGCCCCTGGGTAGTTGGGACCAAATGTCTTTTATCACCATTTGGGGGGCATGGCCTGTGATACTCTGAAATAAAGGGTTTCTGGTGGTCCTGAAAACAGAAAAGAGGAAGTCCAAAATCATAATTCTCTCTTCTGAGATTTCCTTTGAGATTTCCTTTTGTGTTTTTCTTAAATCTCAAGACTCATCAGTTCTGTGAAGCTGTTAAAGAGGCACACTTTGGATTGAAGAAGGTGCATCTCAGTAATTTTCGAGATAAACAAGTTAATTTCAGTACCATGACTGAATTTAATTCCCATGTGCTTTTTAAAAAAATAATAATAAAGCACCATTTTGGTTACACCAGGCTTCCTTCGCTGCTGCATCTTGAGATGTAAAAATTTATAATATCGTTTGCACTTCTTAAACAATTGAGTCAAAACATTTACCTGTCTAGTCCAAATGGAATCATATAGAGATCCCAATTCACCTTCCCCTACCCCCAATATCCTGAGAAATAAGGGAGCATCCTTGCCCCCACCTAGCGCCGGGACGGCAGGCAAAGTGTTCTTCCTTGGCCAGAGCTTCCATGAACGTGAGACTGTTAATGCTACTAGAACCAAAATTAATTAGGGTTTAGGAATGGGGTACGAACAAAGCTGGAGCAATTTCCCCTCCTGGTCCTCTGAGGGGCTGAGTCAGCTTCACTTGCCCCCTCGGTAGTCCCTCCTTGGTCAAATCTAAAGTTGATGTCACTGGGGCTGGAGGGTCCCACGTCTCCCTCTGGTGTCAGGGTTTCAGTACAGTTCTGGGGCATCCAATATCCCAATATCTGCAGCTGCAAAGGGTGTCGTTCCTCCCTGGCTCCATCTGGAGTCACATGTTGTACAGTCACTACTACCCTTTTTGAGACAAAGGACTAGATGGGAACCACCAAGCCCAGTTGGCAATTTAAACTTACCAAAAGTGGCAACAGGTTCTCTTAGGGGGATGCAGGGCAACCAGTGGAACACACCACTTTGTCTTCCAACAGTCTAAAAGGATGGTTTAGGGGGAAATAGGAAAGGAGCTGATGGCTATTTCTACCAGTACCCACCCCCTCCGCCCTGTGTCTGCTACCTTTTGATGACATAACAGCACTGGTGTCTCATTCGGAGATGCTGAGATAGGGCGAGGGAGAAAGAAGCACAATCAAAACAGAATATTCTCTCTCACCTTATATTTGTGGTTGAAGAGAGCCGTTTAGCCCAGTGGTTTCACACAAATAGCTGATGCGCTTTCAGAAAAGAATACCAGGCAGGACTGCTCTTTCTTCTGTGCGCTCCATGATTGATTACAGAAGTCAGTGAAACAACAGCCGTGCACTGTCAACAAACATAAACACTGCTATTCATTATCAAAACTGTTATCATCTACCCATGGCCTATTTCCAGACACTGCCGCAAGCAGCATGAGTGAACAAAACAGAAAGCATTATAATGAGGGCTCAGTATGAAAATGTGTGGTTCCAAGGAAGCCATTCAGGAAAAGAATGTTTGTGAGTGGACCTGTGTGTGTGTGAGTGCATAAAAGCCGAAATTAGAAACAGACTTTCAAAATAGGAGCAAGGTTATAGAACCCTCACTTTTCTAAATTGATAAACTGAAAATAGCTTTTTAGAATAATACAGCCACATTTGGTTTCAACTCAGTGCATGGTTAGCCTTAGAGACCAGAGGAAGAAAGGAAATAAGGGGGAGACAGGCTGGAATATGAATCGCATCGCATCCAGTATCAACAAGTCCCAAATCATTCCACAGCTCCTGAGTGAGCACAGACTGTTGTTTCAGACTTGATACAGGTTGTGAATCCAATGGCAGCAGAGCAAATTGCTTTAGTTTGGTTTTCCGGTGTAGTCGTTCGCCCCCTCAGTTGAGCCTTATCTGGTCGCACCTGTGTTGTTGGGGTGTTCAGGGAAACTCTTAGGTTTCACTGGAGGTTTGAGCTTTCAATCACATTATTTTCCGGCACCAGGAACTCAGGACCAATACTGAATTATTTCCTCAATTCAAATTGTAG